TGTTTACTTTGTAAATTTTTGGGAAAATTTCACGCAAGCTCGGGAGAAATTTTGGATCCGAAAATATTCCGCACTCCCTTTCGCAAGTCGAACCGCACCACACTACTTCTTGCCGCCCGCAGACGGCTACACTTAATCAAACGTATCATCATCAAAAAATCAACAATGTAGCCAAGGAAGCAAATTCCCCGACATTCCACAATTTTTTCCGAACAGTAATGAAAATTCCTGACTTTCCAGGTGCATAGGAACCCCGGATATGGATAGATATTTCTGAAATGGCAAATTTTAGCACGTGGCTATGTAGATATAATATATTTTGAATAAACTCTGGTAATGTTTACCCCGGTAATTGTAAAAATTAAGACTTAGAAAATGAATAAAAAGCAGGAATAAAAAATCTGTAAAAAGCAAATTTATACAATAAGCTTTGAAGTTATTAACGTTGTTTAATCACGACAATGCTAGAAATCCATTATCTTTAGTTGATTCTCTCCAAAGATCAGAACCAGTACTATTATTCCTCAAAAAACAGTAATACAGAAAAGATAAAGGCGTTTGAAAACCAGTACATTTTTCTGCTTGGCGTTCTCGGATTTATATCTAAATTCTACTATAAAAAGGTATAACGAATTAAATTTCATTAAAATTAAATATTTTAACTGATTATATCTGACAACAGAATGATTTTTAAATGGTTGGTTCTTTTAACGGAAACACAAATTCATATATATATAAGGCAAAATATGGGAGAATATAAGAAGTAATTTACTTTGGAACAAAATTATTAATCCCGATCTATTTAAAATACGAACGGATAATGAAAATTTATGAATATTTAATCTTACCACAAAACAAAACAAAAGTTCGTTACAACTGTTTTCGAAACACGCGCTGAACACTAGTACGACCGAAGCGCCATCTACTCAAATTTAAATATCTTTAAAAAATTCTTTCTTCTAATCGTCTGCCATATTGTTTTTTTTTTTTCGCTAAGATTTTCTAATTATAAACGTAATCTGCCTTCCATTTATGTATAATTGTATTAAAAGTTATTTAAAAAAGATTCTTACAGTTAAATTTATGAATGAAGTCCACTAAATTACAATTTACAATATTGATATTACGCAAATTTATTTAATTTTGGGTTATTGTCTTGCAATATTTATCCATAATCGTTATTTTTGTAATTTATTTTTATATAAAAATAATTTCAAAACAAATTTTTTATTTTCAGATTGTATACAAAATACACTTAGGTAATAATAAATTACTATATCGCCTATAAATACATCTGAACGGCCAATGCAAAATGCCACGCTCAATGGAATAATAGTAGGATGCCTGTCGTATATCTCTGCTGTACAAGACTAACATCAACACAGCCACACTTAGGAACTTTAATACTCTTTTATTACAGCAATTCGAAACATGAATAAAATGTCTTCGGCGAGTCGTAGGTACCGAAAACTACCGTTTTCCACGTAGCCATTGCTGTCGTCTCTACCCTCGGCTCTAATCTCTGCGGCCCCACACTCATAGTCCAAAAGTCCAAATACATAAAATTCCTCCCCTTAAATAACATAGTCTTCCATCCAAACAGGGAGACGCTTGATTCGAACCGGTCTTACTTGGTGGATCAATGGTATGTGGTCTTTCTGTAGTTTTTTCACTTGCGTCTGAAGTCTTCGGCGGTTCGTCACTTGACCCATGCGCTCCCAAATCTTGATTATCATTTGCAGGAGGCTTTGACATCTTCGACGACGGGAAAGATTCTGGATAAGGGTTTTCCACCAGTCATCGTCGCAGGAACTCATTACGGAGGACATCTTCATACACGGATTTATCGTAGGGAGGGCATACACAGGATCCAAATGGCAAAGGCTCGAAATCTTGAAGAACCACGGTCTGATTGATTTTCGACTTGTTTATCTCATATTGCTTTCGCGAAATCCGGGTGTAGTTAATCCAAATATGTCTTCAGGTAGCGATTAATCATTAGCTCTAATGGGAAGATACTTGTAGCCGCATTAGTAGTAGTCATTGGCCCTCAGGAAAATTCTGGTTTCGAAGCCATCTTGTTCTAAATTAGAAGTGGGTAGTTCCACATCGATTGTTAAGACGGTTCCAACCAGAACTATCAATACTAACACGTTCTTCATTCTGTACTTTTACAAACACGGAACGGAACGGCAATTCTTTATTTGGATTTGAACTTGAACTAATGAAAATGTTCCACGGGTTTTTAGGAATAATCAAATTACTTTAGAGTATAAGAGTGAGGGTATCCGGATTTCACGAAAATATATTTTCCCCAGAGTCCAGAGAATAAGCATGAAAAATTTGGTGCGGATCGGACATAGGGTTTAGGGGTTAATAGGGGAATGTATTCAGGAGTTTTCATCCTCAGGTTTCGTGATGGTATCTTAAAAAAATATAGAATGGGTTAAACAAAAATTGGAACAGATCGACCAAAGAACAGAGAGACAAACATTTTATATCCTATATAAAACCGACGAGGGCTGTCTCGTCCAACAGACTAAGTAATTTTGACATTATAGTGATTCCGAGGAACTGTCTAGTCCAACGATTCCGACAGAACCGTTCCGCACTCGAATCAGTTCCAACAGTACCAGTTCCAATAGCGGAACTGGCCTGGATTTTCCACCTCTAGATTATACTACTGTGATGAAAAAGTATTGGAAATGGTTCATATAAACTACACTAGTGGAAGGCGGTTTTTTCTGTCGTTTCGTACAATTTTCGTAGACATCTAGCAACAATCCGTATGTCATCGTCTATTTTTTGTTTGCAAATAAAACTTATTTTGCATGCAAGAAATTTTTGCGTCGGCAATTTTTCAAAATGTCTAGTGTAATCGAGCAAAGAACGTGCATTAAATTTTGTTTTTGCAATGGAATTACTGCTATAGAAACGTAGGAAACGTTGCAAAAAACTTTTTGATGATGATAGCCTATCAAAAGTAAGAGTTTTTGAGTTGTACAAGATGTTCGAGGAGGGCAGATAACGCGTTGAAGATGAACCACGCTCTTGTAGATCATTTACTTCAACTGATGAACCACTCGAGTCAGAGAGTTGGTGCTCAGTGATCGTCGTTTAATAATTAGGGACATTATTGAACATGTTCCGATATCATTTGGATCTCTTCGAGCAATTTTAAAAGATCAGTTAGGATTGCGGCGCTTATCAATATTTTACCGTAGAATTAAAATCGAATGAATGGCTGAATAATAGTGGTAGTTAAAGCGTCAGCCTACTGTTTTTGCCAGACGTGCACCGATTAAAGAATTATCGGCAGCTCGCGCTATAATCACTAACACAAGTTTCCCATTTAAAAAACTGATAACTATAAAATAATAATAATAATAACGCATGAATAGACAACTACAACTCGCATATAATAATGTTAGGTGGAATTTCTATTTTCAAAATTATTCGGAAAATTTAAATTATATATGAAGTTCGATTTTAACTTTCAACCCTGTGGGCTGGGGCCTTTTTGGCAAAGTCCAATACGGTTGAGCCAAGTTCAGGATGGGGCGGCCGAATGTGAAGTAAGAGGCCCGACGTATATCCCCGAAAAATTTTTAGGGTTTTTCGACCCGTCGGTATTCGATAAACAAACAAATCTATTTTATTAATATGTAAATTTACTTTTGTCCTAATAAATGGTAATAAGTGGTAAACTTTTAAATAGGGTTTAGATTAATCATCTTTATTTTATTTTGGTTCTAGAAATGCTTTGTGTAGCTACCAAATGTCAATCTTTTTTCTCTAGAAAGTGAAAAAAAAATTTCATAAATGAAGATATTAATAAATATTCATAAAATTTAATATTTGTTTTATAAATTGAAATCGATTTTTTTACATTTAATAAAGATTTTCGTTGAAAAGCATGGATCCAATTACTATAACAATACATTCAGCACACAAATCTTATTTTAGTTAGTGAATATTTTATAATTTAAATTTAATAAATACAACATAAATTGTTTTATTGTATTAATTACAATAATATTTGAAAAACAAACGTCTGGTCCAATTTATTTATTCCTAATACAAAATTATTTAAATAAAGAAATAAAAATTAATAATTTGAAACTCCTACTTGTTGGAATTATTTATTTTTAAATATTTATTAATATATATATATATTT